TCAGGCTTCTTGTCACAGCTCCATCTGATGTGTGACTCAGACTGGGCTCCAGAAGATCCTGTTTGGGTCAGGGATTCGATTCTTGGTAGAAACGAGTGAGTCCTGTTTCACTTCACTTTAAACGTGTCCATATAAAATGGTTAAATGCTCAGGTTTGCTGCTGATTTTATAAGGTAACTACAGTTTGATAAGTCCACTGTGTCGTCGGCTCAAAGTGCTTCGTATCTGCTTCATATCTGGTTTGTAACAAGGCTTTAAACTGACTGAGTTGTCTGATGAGGTTCAACATGTTCGATAAACAAGCAGCTTCATCACAGATGCACCAATGTGTGCATGAAGAAAACCCCAGAATTCAAACTGACAACTTGCCTTTTCTTATCTCTGATATGCGCGCTGGTTCTCAAAGTTGGTTAAGATGTGAAACCCACATGTGTCTTCAGGACTGATCAGATGATTAATCACTATCATGAAAAAATCTCACGTACACATGTGAAATGTCTGAAAAGGGTTAGGGTGATTATCTGAATTCTCATGCGCTTTCTTTGTAGTGACATCATTGGGGTTTTTCTAACGTGGACTTTGGAAGGAAAATAATAATAACAGTAACGTCCTGACCTTTGTCAAGTGTTTGCATCCTCACTGACGAAAGATGAAACTGATTTTACTCCAACAAACAAACTGTGCTTTTTATAAGAACTTAACTGAACTTTGAATCCAACAAGGCTCTTTTTGTGGAACAGTGGCCTTTGTACTTTTAGACTTTTTAACCCCTTCACCAGTCAGGAGTCAGCTCGTGTCCCGTCTCCTGTGCTGCCACGTTAGCTGTGCTGTGGCTGCACACTGTGTGAATGCTGCTGGCTCGAAGATCATCTTTGGAGCTGGAGTCCGTTTAGTCGTACAAACAAGTGAGTCACCACAAACAGATGTGCACAGATGTTTCAGTCCTGAAAACTGATGAGAATCATCACTGAAAGTGTGTGGTGCTGAAATAACTGTCAGGGAACTGATGGGTGACGCGAGGACATTAGACTGTGAGAATCTTTGATACTTTATAAAATACTTAGAGGTTTTAATGCTACTTCTAGTTTCAGTGTGGAGCTGCGTCTCTGGACCTGACAGTTGAACACTGTAACAAACTTATACCCGCTGCGTCTTAACACAATGCTGGAAAATGTTGAGTCAGTGGACAGACACGATCTGTGTGAGACACCGTGTGGTCGGTGTCCAGGCGCAGCCACCCTGGTTTTCGAATGCTGCTAACTCACAGTGTGAATAGTAACAACTACAAACTCCTGTTTGGATCTGGAACCACAATCACTGTGTGGTCACGTGAGTGTGTTTTGTCTTTACTCTGATGTGGCTGGCAGGTCCACAGTGGTCAGTACTTCCAACAGCCATGAAGATGTCACAGCTATAGTATATAAATGTTTTAAATGTACCATTAAAATTCAGATTGTATAGAAACAGCAGTGAGCAGACCGTCGGTATGAGGCAGGCAAACCCCAGCGATGAACTACTTAGTATCTTTGAGTACTGTAAATACCTGCGTGTAGTCACCATGTACTTCAGAGGAAACATTTACTCCAATGGAACAAATTAACTGGTGATTTTCATGAACACACCAAGACCAGGTGGATTCACCACCGTCTTTCTTTGGTTTTCCTCATAAATGTCTGAAATTCACTCGCTCATTTTAAAATTTCAGAATCCATGTAGATAAAATAATTGGTTTAAAACTAAATAAAGCCCAGCTTTGGTGAAATACGGTTAAAATCACCAGAGAGATGGAAGCGACCCTTGCTGTCTCTGTTCGCTGGGTTTTTGCTGCCAGTTGGAGCCGTGTGTGAATAACGTCAGGACTGTGTTTGGATCCGGAGCTAAACTTACTGTCATGGCAAGTGAGTGGCGAGTAATATTTCATTCAGATTGTCATGTTGCAACTCGTGTAGCCTTTATTACAATCACACATTTGTCACGTTGTCATAGTTCAGTTAGTTTGATGGCTGGAGCTGAAGCCGGTCCATAAGTTACTGCTCAGCTGTAAAACGATCAGATCTTCTCATTTCAAGCATTTCAACTTTGTCGTTTTCAAGCGATAGTTGTTTCGTATTTCCAATCATCCTCATGTTGAAGGTTTAATGCACAAAGGTCACAAACTGTCCTGACAGTAAATGTCCAGCACCACAGCAGTGTGTGACACAGTTTGGAGCCAACAAACTCCTGTTTGGTGCTGGAACTAAACTTCTGGTAGAAATCAGTAAGTTAACAAACGGTTACGTGCACATTCAGAACCAGAAACTGCGCTGGTTCCAGTGGAGCTTGGTCTCTTCTTGTCTCATTTTCACCCCTTCTTACTTTGTTTAATGTATAAATTCATGCAGCTCAGAAATGGATGATGGCCCCTGAACACGGGGCCGCTCAGCACCACTCAGCTTCACTGAGAACCTAAAGAAACAATCCGTTTTAAACTAAAGCCGCTACTCACTTCTCCAGCAGTGAAAACATGCGGAGTAATGGACAGATCATTGGTTTAGTGGAGAGCAACCTGTGTTGAGAACCCGCACTGGTTTGTGTAACAGCTTTAGTTCCTGTGTGAATGCCAACAACTTCAAAGTCCTGTTTGGATCCGGGGTCAGGGTGACGGTCCTGTCCGGTAAGAGCGTTCTCCTCGTTAACAGACATGTTATGCTGACTCAGATGTGTTTGGCCATTTGTGAAGGAAAGTCCTCAAATTTGAACAGACAACATGAAATTCCAGATTTATTTATACTTTTAAAAACAACACCCACTTTACCAGAGTTCTTTACATGGGCAGAATAAGATCACAATAAATAACTAAAATAAAATAAATAGGATCAATGCAGAAATAAAACAGCACAATAACACAAACACACAGATTACATACATTCAGTAAATTAAATTAATAGGAATGCATCAGGCCCTACTATGTATTAAAAGCCAAGGCAAATAAATATGTTCTAAGCAATGATTTAAAAGTAGTCAGGTCAGTAGTTGATCTAACATTAAATTGTAGACAATTCCACAATTTAGGGGCTGCAACAGTAAAAGCACGATCACCCCAGCGTTTGTATCTGGCCCTGGGCACCTCTAAAAGAAACTGGCTTGAAGATGTGAGGGACCTTGTCTTAAATGCAGGAATGAAAATCTAAGCCTGTAACTTCATCAATAAGTAATTACTGATTAACAAGAGGAACGCAACAACATCTGTCGCTGCTTGTTTTTAACCGGGAAAATGCCAGAACTGCTCCTTTGGTTTGCTGTGAACTACAGCCTTCCAGCACCAGTGCATCTAGAAAGCCCAGTTATCCCCGAATCTGACTTTTAATAACTAAAAATTTTATTTAGTTTTGTGTGTAAAATACCATTTAAAACCAGAAACGTGTTTGTGTTGAGCTGTCTGTAATAGTCCAGTTGTATTTGATCAAGAAAAACAATAAGCTTTGCCCATTTCAGTATTTCCTAACCCTAACCCTGCATTGCATTGACACAGACCAGGAGCTGAAAGTTGTGCACAGTATTTGTCCAGCACCACGACGGTGTGTGACACAGCTAGCAAACAAACTCCTGTTTGGTGCTGGAATAAAACTTATGACTGAAACAAGTGAGTAACCAGACATGAAATCTGAATCTATGTGAATCCTCCCTTCTTATCCTTATCAGGCTCCATCTTGGTTTATTTCACTGTAAAATATAAACTAACTTTACCACAAACCACAGTTTCTGTAGCCGTTAGCGTAGGGGAGTTGTTTTTGTAAGGAGTTAAACTGGCACGTGAAACTCCTGTTTGACCCGGGATCACGAGCTGTGTGGAGGAAGATACAGTAAAAATAAAGGATGCGAATATTTTAGCTAAATATTCATCTAAGACAAGTCTGTTGTTCATAAACAAGTCGCACTTACAACATATGAATTAACACCACTGTAAAAGTGAATGTGAACTAGAACAGCACGGACGTACCAGAGCGGTATGCTAACATCTGCACAAGTTAACGCAGTAAAGGTCCTCTTACACACATTTTAAACAAAATTCAGTCTTAATATGTTCAAACATATATGTTAAGAAAACTACATATAATTAAAAATCACAGCTGCTGCAACTGAGTCCAGCTATGACTCTTGTCTCCCGGCGGCTGATGACACGAGCAGAGCCTAGAAAGCCGCGGTGGTGATAAAGCACCTCCCCAGCAGCGCCGTGGCCAAAGGTCACTTTGTGTTTAGGGTTCATGTGGTCACTGTGTGCGTTACTGGTGGTGAGGCAGAGATCCAAGTGAAACAGATGTTTCCGAGTGTGTTTCAGTCACAGTGTGTCTGTGAGTGACGTGGTCTATGGACTCTCAGTTTGAGATTCAATTTTTTCTTTACCTGTAAAGCCCCTTTTCCATTGTCTGGTACCAACTCGACTCGATTTGACTTGACTTATTTGTGTTTCCATCAGTCAGATGTTGGGATAGTTCCTGGCACCTGGTACTATTTTTGGTATCACCTCCGTTGAGGTTCCAGGTAAGCAGAGGTGATACCAAACGGTGACGTGTAAACACTGCAGACTAGTGACTGGTTAGAAAAATCACGTCATCAACGTGTGAGACATCCCGGAACAAAGAAAGCACTGTTTTTAAAAGCAATGTTATTTAACGCTGACCGCTGCTTTACTGTCATTACTGTATCAACTAAAACGAGCCACATACCAACAATCAAGAGCAGCGTACCGTCAATGTCCTCTGCTGTTACTGTGTCGGTCGCTGATGACATCACGACAGTTTAATGCAGTGTGGCTATGACAACCGGCTACACTGAGCGGGGACCATCTGCAGTAGAAAACCAAGCACCCAGTGCCGAGAGCAAGTCGAGTTGGTACCAGGAGATGGAAAAGGGGTTGAACTTGACAGAGCAGCTGTGAAGTGGATCAACAGTTACGCAGCAAAGGTCCGAACATTATTTGCGCATGTGTTAAAGAGTTGTCCTTCTTGTGTGTTTTTCAGAGGACTGGGAGAAGCACCAGCCATCCTACCACAGACTGGAAGATGTAGATGGGATGACGACGTGCCTGGCCACTGGTTTTGGCAGACACAACATGACACATACGTGCTTTAACAGCACCAGCACAAAGGGACCGGCCGTTCAAATATCTGGTAGCCCTCTGTACAACCAGGTGGCCTTTTTCTCAAGTGCAAGTGACCAGTGTGACAAAGGTGAGGGCGAGTTCACTTAACAGAAGAAATACCACACAATAATGATTGAAATGTGAACTGTGAGTGTTTTCAGCTGGAATAATAAGAAGGGCTTCAAAGAGCAAATGGTGTGAAAATCATTGTTCTTGAGGAAAAGTGATTATGATAAATTCAAAATGAAAATGAATTTAAAAGGCTAATTAGATCATCGTACATATTCAGTTAAAAACAGAAGTGGAAGATGTTGAATCTGTGATGAGACTGAAAACTGGGGACTCAGACCAGCATCTGTGCCCTTTGTCAGTGGTGGGGGGCCTTAAATGACAAGTCGTGATTAGTGTCAAAGCTAATGATCCCCTGTTGTGTCTGCTATCTTTCAGCGTCAGAGTCTGAAGAAACTCAGTGCGAGGACCCTCTGGAGCCAGGTTGGTATTAACCCTTTCTCAACCGTTGAGACCTCCGTAAAGCTCTCGGTGGGTTTGTGGTTGATGGTGTGATGTTGTTGTTTGCAGATCCGAAGGTGAACCTCATGTCTCTGACCATCCTGGGCCTCAGGCTGCTCTTCCTCAAGACCATTGTCTTCAACGTCCTGATGACCCTGCGGCTGTGGTTCAGTCAATGTGAGTACAAACACTGTTAATTCCTTCCTCAGCCTGTATGCAGTACAGGCCTTTGATTCTGATCATGTTCTAAAGGTTTATTTGGTCACATTTCAACGAGCCCTCCTTGTTTTCCTGATTCAGGCTCGAGCCTTCCTCCATATTTGCCTGTTGTCGTGATAAATTCAGTGTAATCGCCATTTCCACAGCAGCAGTTCATCGGTACAACAACAGAGTCGTCCTGTGGTTGATTAATCGTTTTAAATTTCAGAGTGCCATCAGTCGATCAACAGGGTGAAAATATTTTGATATTTTTAAGGGAAACTGCCAACCATCGTGTGTGAAATCCCAGAGGTGCATGTAAAGCTCAGGACACAGATCAGGGGTTAGCAGCTAAACTCCAGTAAATGTTTGGCAAACACGGAGGTTTGGGTTCTGTCACAAAAATACATGCACCCTGTCTCATGCTTCATTGTCAGTGTTTTCAACATTTAATCAACCAGTCACCATGTTCTGGAACCTAAACCCGGACTTGTCTAAACAGAACCATAAAAACCTGGATCGCACTTTAATTCCCACACATCCAGTTTACATATACACTAATGAGTTGTGTGTGGACATATGTCCAGGAGACAGGGTGGACCTGACTTATGATTCAGGGCTCTCTTGTAGATGAGGCTGTTCACCTCAACGTGACATTAAATAAAATTTATGAACAGTGCGGAGGAAGGATGCATAAAATAAGTCGGGCTTTTCCTTCTGAACTGCTGATGTGGAGCAGAAAAGCAAAGTGAACATCACAGCTACTGTGTAAACTGTCAGAGTGCAGTCGATCCACAGCGGCTGACGGCTCCCTGTCGAATGCACCAGGGGATATTTTGGGTGCATTGACAGTTCTCAGTCAGTGGCTGCGATGGTTTGGATGCTGGTAGAAAGCTGCATCTGCCAAGTGGAAGGAAAGCTAGTGTTTCATTTTCATTGTGAAGTATTCATCTGGAGCCCCGAAAAAAACTGAACACAAAGTGTACCTGCAAAATAATACAGGTAAAATTCCAGAAATTATTCCAATGTGACGTTTATCAGTTTCTCAAATGTCTAAAATGATGAATTAGTTCACATAATGTACTTGCCAGTAAATTATTGAAGTCCAAGAGACTCGATCTGGAAAACTCAAAGACCCCTGTTTATCTCTTTTATGAAAATCTTTTACAAACACTAGACTTGAATAAGGTCTTCCACATTTTTCCAAGGCTCTAAATGAATAGTTCAACTTAAAACGGGTGCATGTGATTCCTGTTTTCTGGCCTTTCACTTACAGTTAGTATCATATTTTTAAATACATTAGTTGCCAATGCTCAGTGTTCAGTTTATTTCACAATGTTAAACCAGGCTGATGTAAACAGAGCAACTGGAGGCAGCAGGTTTTTGTCTGCATCTCTTATTTAATAGACAACATTCAGGTCACATTCATTTAATATGCTTTTCCTGTTTTGTCTTTCAGGAGCTCGACAGACCTGCTCCAGAAAAACAGACGACAAATTCACAAACAACATCCTGATCGAATCCGTGAAGCACGGAGTCGATGCTCGGCTTCTTTTCTGCTGTCATCGCCTGCGTCTGTGTCATGTACCATAACATGTATGAATATCATCATATTAATATGATCCTGCTGTGGACAAACACGCTAGCTTGTAATACAAAGTCTTATTGTGCTGTATTTCTTCATAGTGTTTGATTTTTTTTTTTTTATGAGTGAATTTTACTCTGTTCTTCTGATGTAAATATCACAGTTCCATTTAACAACATCTCTGTGTGACATCATTACAATAAAACTGAAGAACAGATTGAGTGACTGTTGTTTTTTAATTCTTAATTTCTGCATTGTCCCCAGTCTCACAGGCTCCACAGCTGTGCATGTAAAAATAATAACTGAAAAATTGTGTGTGGTTCTTCAGGCTGTGCTCGTAAGTGCTGACCTTTAATTTAACCTTTAATGGGCCTGGATGTTTGATGGTGAAAACATACTCAGATGAATATAAAACAGCATTAATTAGTCAGATTGGCCCGTGTTACACGGGTTGCGCCTGAGTACAGAGACATGGCCTTCATCGTTCACAGGTGAAGAAATGTACAGCATGTGGTGCTTTGCTTAGACCAGATGATAGAACACACTGATCAACCCCCAGAGCCTGAGGTTCAAACAGAGGAGCCACACTAGGACGTGCTGCATGTCCCCAGATCCTACAGACGGAGACAGAGCAGCCAATTAGTCTCTGTTTTCTTGAGCAGGAGACACTCGTTCCACTTCACTCAGCCACGATGAGTCAGTCCTGCTAAACGAAACAAGAACAGAGGGGAAACACCGTCATTACTGTGTCTTCTCTAAGTGTCAAAGACGGATGTAAAGCTGTTTCTCTACTTTAAGGTTTCACAGCAGACGTAGCCATGAGGGCCATGGGATCAGCTAACATTTTTAGTCAAAGTCAAAGTGTTTATTTGTCATATGCACAATTAGGAAACACGTTTCTCTGTACAATGAAATTCTTACTTTGCCGTCCACATGAATGCCACAAAATACAAATGAAATATAAAGTAGATAAATAAGTAACACAAAATCTAAGGCACTTTAAGCAGCAAATGCAGCAATATAATAAAAATATATAATATAATAAGAGAATGTATGCTGCATGGGAGCAGCATGAGCAGCAGTCAACAGTCAATGTGCAATTGTGCTTTGCAAACTGAGAATGTAAACAGTACAGGTCGTCAGTACCTGATGTATTTCCTGGTAATAAACTCCTCAACTGTTTTAGGACTTGTAATGAAACGTGTCAGCTGATCAGAGGAACAACACTGGTGTTTAGTGCTGTTACTGTAACAGCAGAAGTTCTGTTTTATAATATGAAGCTAATATAGAACGAGTATATGAAATTAAATTTCTAGGTGTCATAGTTGATGACAAACTCTCCTGGAAATCTCATATCAGATATGTTCAGCACAAAATAGCAAAAAATATATCGATATTGGCAAGGGTTAGATATATTTTGGACAGGAAAGCACTATGTATTTTGTATTCTTCACTGATTTTACCATACTTGGAGTATGGCGTTGAAAACTGGGGAAACACATACAAAAGCTCACTTCAACCATTGTATATATTACAAAAAAGAGTGATAAGAATTGTGCATAAGATGGGGTATAGGGATCACACCAATTGAGCTTTCATACAGTCTAAATTGTTAAAATTTTTTGATTTAGTGGGATATAAGACTTCTGTGTTTATGTATAAAGCCAGGAATAATTTATTACCTGGTGGAATTCAAAAACTATTTAATGAAAGGGAAGGGGGATACAATTTAAGGGGTCAGTTAAATTTAAATTTCATGTTATACGTACAACCAAAAAAAGATTTTGTATTTCTATAAGTGGGGTAAAACTATGGAATAATTTAAGTGTGGACATAAAAAACAGTAATAGAATTGATGAGTTTAAACATAAATATAAATGTATGTGTCAATCAAGATATATGCAAGAACAGGTTTAACATTGTGGGTGTGGTGTAAGAATGTTAACACTATGTAATAATTCTACTTGTGTGGTGTAGAAGATAATTATCAAAGTATGTAATTATGTAAGAATGTTAACAATCTGTAATAATTCTTTAGTATATTGCGTGGTGTAGAACAAAATTATCTATGTAGAGATACTGCTTGCAAACCAATGATGGTAAGATGATGTCATGGGGTAGGACTGGATAAGTCTAACTTCTTCCTACTCCGTTCAAGCATGTACTAGGTATAAGCAAATTGATAATGCATTTGTAGATATGTGTGAAATTATGTGTGTTGACATATTGACTGTCTTTACATGTTTGAAAGAATAAATCAAATCAAATCAAATCAAAGACAGGACACAGTAGATAAGATATGTGCTGGCCACAGCACTAGTCTGCTGCTCTACTCTACAGGTTTTAATTTGTTCCCCCATAACTTTAAATATCCATAAAAACACTCACAGACCAGTTCACACTGAGCTGGTGTACCTCGTCAGGATGTGGGGGGTTATTCCTACTGTACTGACAGTCACCAAACTACCCCCCAATTGTTGCTCTGATTCAGATCTGACTAAAGCCACTTTTCTTTAAATGAGCCCCGCACATGTGGAAAAGCATGCTCACATAGGCTCTCGTCCTGCAGAGAAGGGGAAGCAACTGCAAGGCCTTTCTGCTGTTGGAGTCCCAGGGCCAGAGGACAACAGGCCAGAGCTGCTGTGCACATGGACTCATGTCAGATATTAGGAAGCTAACCTTCAGGTATGAAGGTTTATACCTTCATGTTCAGCAGAACATGGGTGTATAAACATCAGTGTTACCGCAGCCAGTCACTTGATGTGTACGTATTTGAGTAAAGGTCAAAGTGCCAGCTGCTCCCTGTAGCTTGTCCTCCGGCAGCCTTATTAGTCGACTCAGAGTCAGTTCAGTTGATTAGTTGAATGAGTCTGTCACTCGTACATTCTCGCCATCCAGCTGTCAGATAAACCAACCAGTCTCCTGGTTAGTTACTCTGATGCTTTTCCTGCTATGGGTCCAGTTCTGTGACATCTCAGTGTAAACGTAACAGTCTGCACTGGCGAGACAGGAAATGGTCAGCAGTTCACAGTTTGTTGTAATGATTCTCTGTGACAAGAAGGCAGCTGAGCTGAAGAACATCGAGTTTAGAATCACACTGCTTGGCCATGTGCTGAGGTCCAGCTTTCAGTGGGAGTCACAGTTCATCTCACAGCTGCCAGATGAGTCTGAGGTTGAGACTCGGTGCAGACCAGTCAGCTTGTTCCACACCAAACTGGGGAAACTAGTTCTGTTTGGAGTTGGCTTTGTGCACGGCACATTGCTAGCCATGGTGAAACAGGAAGCTATCGAAAGCCAACAAGTGAAATGCAGAATCGAGCGTTTTAGATGGCACTGACTGGGACAGCCTCGTCTCCTCGGGCAGATGGTACCACAGCCTGAATTTATATCTGTTTAGTTTCAACTATGATGTGGTGACACATGGAGTTATGTTCACAGGCAGTTTTATCCAAAGGGAATGAAGCTCCACGTTGGCTGAGGTGGATGGTGGACATGGCAGCATGTGACTCTGAGACCAGACATCCCGAGGCGTGCACAGTGTTAGGTTTATGGAACACAAAGTGAAGGGAAAGACAGTGGCCTGGGGGTAAAACAGGAGGAGATCACAGCCAGTCTGGGACTCCACACACACACTAATGGTTTGGAATGAGCTACAAGAAAATGAAGGGCTGGTGGCACCAGATGTGGCCTAGGCAGAACAAAGCTACCAAACAGTGGGTCAAGGCCAAGGTCAAAGTGTTTATTTGTCATATGCACAGTTAGGAAACGTGTTTCCCTGTACAACAGAATTCTTACTTTGCCACCCACATGAATGCCACAAAATACAAATGAAATATAAAGTAGATAAGCAGGTGACACAAATCTGAGGCACTTTAAAGCAGCAAATGAAATACGCACAATAAAAATACAACAAGAACACAGTATCATGTAGAGAGAATGTTTTTCTACATGGGAGCTGTTTGTGCAAATATTCAGCAGTGAATGTACAATTATGCACGTGCACAGTAACAGTGCAAACAGTGCAGGTTGAATTACATGAGATGGATCCTGAGTCAGCTGTTTAGAAGTCTGATGGCAGTTGGAAAGAAAGAGTTTTTCAGTCTAGAGGTCCTGCATTTCACATTGTTGAACCTCTGGCTGGAGGGTAGGGGCATGAACAGTCCATGCTGGGGGTGGGTGGGGTCTTTGAGGATGGAGGCAGCTTTCCTATGCACCCTGCGGTGGTAAATGCAGAGAGGGCAGTGGTGTCCTGGTGAGCTTCTCTGCAGTTGGCTTCTTCGGTTCCTCTTTATGTGTCCTGTAGGAGTGTCCTGGCAGGATGAATAAAGTATTAACACCGTTCAGCCTGCAGTGCTGTTCCATGAAGTAAAACACCTATAGAGGTCAACACTGCTCTCTGCCTGCATGGCCTGATGAAACCGGGCTCGCACACCACACAGACCTAGTGCATCTGCAGATGTTTGTGAGTAATGATGAGGACAGTTACTGTCAACACAATGTTGCTGGGCTCCAGTTTAGCTTTGTGACTCGACCTTTCCTTTAAAAAGTGGCACTTCTGATGCCCTAGTGATGGAAGCTGACAGGACATTTAAGAGCGTTCAGTCACCACAGGTGACCTACATGATCCTAAAGGTCACTGGTCATGTAACTACTTTACCAGAAGGTGCACTGTTCATCCCAATGAAAGTTACACACTGCAGAAAAACCTTTCATGCTTCTGGATCCAGGCCATAAAAATAACAAGCGTCCCTGACTTCTGAATGAGAAAAATCAAAATTATCCTGCGTCTCTTCTAAACTTTGCAAATTCACTGGACCCGGTGGCTCACACTCTGGTTTGTGAGAGTTTTAGTGGCTTCTTGTCCTCTGTGGGTCAGTGTGTGTCACGTGACAAGCCAGAAGCTATAGTAACACGGCGAGGCCTCCATCCAGCTCTGTTCCTGTGGGGTCAGAGTGCAGGAGCAGCAGGTGTCATGGTGGCAACAATATTAAACACAAGATTAAGGCTGTGGGACAGGTTTGGTTTGGGATAAAATGCGGACTTTATTGTTAGAGACTCTTTGTCACCATGGTAACAACACACTGCTAAGGTTGTGGAACGACCTGTGCAGCTGATCTGTCTGCCCTGACATCCTCCCTGTCTGGACTTTGTCATTCTGTAGCTACGCCACCTGACCTC